GCGCACAGGACTGCACCCCTCCCCGGGGCGAGACTGGGCACGTGGTGCCCCAGGAGGCTGCACTGGGGAGGGCTCTGGGGGTGTGGGCTGTAGAGACGGTCGTACCCTCCGGGCCCGGCCCAGCCTGTGTGCCCAGCAGGCACATTTTGGGACTCACACAGAGAGGGATGTGACAGGGAGGTGGGCCGGGCCCTGCACTCGCCACTCTGTGAACCTGGCTCCCTGGAGTGACAGTGGTGAGCGTGTGGCAGGTGTGGCAGCGTGGAGTGGGTACAGGGCCCATGTGGGGTCTGGGGTGCAGACGAACCACACGTATGCAGCTTTGCTGCTCTGTTTATTTCTAAGAGAAGGTGCAGCTTCTCTCTGAACCCCGGAGCGCTGGCCCCTTCCCAGTGACCGTGCCGCCCGTCTCCACCGGCTTAGTTGGTCCCCTCCTGGCGGGCGGCGGCACCCGGGGTCGGCACGCTTCCTGACGCCAGGTCTCCTTTGTCCCAGGAATGGTCCTCGTGCGGAGTGAGAATGGGCAGCTGTTAATGATCCCTCAGCAGGCCCTGGCCCAGATGCAGGCCCAGGCTCACGCCCAGGCTCAGCCTCAGACCAGCATGGCACCCCGCCCTGCGACCCCTACCAGTGCCCCTCCCGTCCAGATTTCTGCTGTACAGGTGAGTGCTCGCACGCGCCCCTCCCACCGCCGTGCACGCCAGGAGGCCAGAGCCTACCCTTCTCGTCCCCTGCAGCTTCGCGGGTCCCATGCCTCAGGTTCCTCATCTGCACAGGGGTGGGGGGTCATAGCCCGTAACTCACCGATGCCACAGTGAGCACTGCGGGGCAGTCTCGGCTGTCAGGCGGAGGACACCTCCCAAGGTGTTCCCGGGCCCCCACACTGGCTGTCGGCCTTGGTTAGACCCAACTCCTCAGCGTGGAGGGGCTGCTCAAGTGGAGTGCTGGGGCCTCTGCCCAGTGGCCACCCCTCGGCCAGTGCCCTGATGCCCTGGGGCTGTGCTGCCTGCTCGACTCTGCCTCCCGCGGTGTCTGGCCGTGCTGTGGCCCTGAGTCCTCGGCTGGGTGGGGGGCGGCGACCCCCCTGGAGGGCGG